TTTTTTTTTTTTTTTTTGGTGTTTGTATTATTGATTTCAATGTTTGGGCATGAGATCTCATTATTATATTATTTATTATTCATATCCTAACGGTTCTTTTCTTAATAAAGGAAAAAAGAACGAATTAAAAGTGGTATTCTTTTTTACGGGAACTTTTTTGTGGAAAACTATTTTTGCACTCAACACTTTCTTCCTAGTTTTTTTTCCTCCTTGCAATCATCTTCGGTTGTTCTTTTGGCTCATTATTATTGTGCCGCTTGCTGAAGTTTCTAGACTCTGAACGTTTGGTTTATAGATTCAGAATTATTATCAATTTATGTGTATTTTTTATGAGAAAAAATATTATAATAAACTATGAATCATGATTCAAATCATAATATAAATACATCAATTAAACGCACAAAAAGACCGTTTTGTTGTAGGCTTCATTCACGTGGTTCCAATTTCTAAACTTTTCTCTTCTCTTTAGTTCTTATTTCGTTTTAATAAAGGCGATGTTTGAATTCACCATTTAAAGGTAGGTTTATTTTCACGCGGTATAGTGGCTAGGTCTTAGTGCCATTGATCTCTTGATTCTAATCCATTGGCAGTTTTCATTTATTATAGAGGCACTGTTAAAAGAGTCATATAAGTGCTCGATTTTTAGCGCGTCAGAACTCATTACATATTTTTTTCTTTAAGTTTTGTCCAAATTTACCAGTTATTCTTTCTTTCTTTGTGGTTGAGTTTACTAGTGTTTGGTAGTATTGTTTGTGTTAGTACGTAATAGCGTTTGTATTTTTTTTTTGTGAATGTAATTTCTTTTTTTTTATTTTAAAAAGGGCCTTTTTTGATCAAGGTATGTTGTGCCTATAACTAATTAACTACATCAAATATTTATTAGAAGAATCTTGTAAAAAGCTGTCACTTTTTATAGAACTATAATTATGTGTAGTTTTTTAAATTAATTGTTTGTAGTATTCCTCATATCCTTTTATGTATAACTTGAGTAAATCCTTTATGTATAATTTAATTGATCATTATCGCACAGTTGTAATTTTTGTAATAAAATAAAATAGTAGACAATTTTAATTAAAGTGAACACTAATGTTTAGACATTTTTATATGAACGCGTGGGTTCTCATGTTATGGTGGATCACATATAAGAGTATAATGAAAAAAAAAAAAAAGATAATTACAAAAAATTATCATTTAGCTAATAAAAAGGAAAAATACTCAAAAACACCTTTTGTGTTTTATTTAAAAAAGTCTTTCTTATTATTTAAATATTCAAAACATTCACGTGTTTATAAAATTATATTCAAAATATCCCCTAAAAAAATTAAACTTTGTTGATGGCTGATTACCATGCCCTTTTAAGAGTCCAGGCCTAAAAATCTTGTCATGATGAGGCCTAATGGTGGTGGTGATGATGAAGCAAATGGCTGCCCTTTTTTAAAAGAAAAATAATAATATTGGGTTTTCTTAGTAAAAACTAGTTGAAGAACACATGCATGTGGGGAGTAATTTGTATTAAGTTTTAATTACCAAGTTATAATTAAAAGCATATAATAGCTCAAAAAGAAATTAAAATTTTAAAAATTGTTTTAGGGCAAGTAACCAAAAAGAGATTAAAATGAAAGGAAAAAAAAATATTGGAGAGCAAAAAAAAAAAAAAGTAGCGGCATTGTTACTGTTCACATGTTTTCAATCAAGAAGTACGTGAACCGTAAACGGGTTTCTCAAAATGAAAAAGAAAAAAAGGAAAAAACATAAAAAAAAGTGAATAGGGATGATTTTCAACCAAAATTACGTCATTTTGATTGAAAATAGTGAAACATATTGACATTTATATATTGTTTTAGAAAAATGTTATTGGGTTGAGAACCCGTGGTAGAACTAATCAGTCGGTGGACAAAAGTAAAGGAAATCAACAGTTTTTTCCTCAAATATTGAAGACATCCAAAATTTTTATTCATATGAATTTGAAGGTCATTAACATTAAATAAACGGAGCTCCTGAGGAGTTTGCAACGCCATGTGGGGTGCTGGGTTCGTGCCGTTGTTGGTAAAGGCCTCGTTCAGAATTGAGTTTTTAATTTAAATTGAGTTTTTAATTTAAATTGAGAGTTTTTAACTGTAGCAGTAAAAAAAATTAGAAGTGATTTTTTATGAGTTTTTAACTGTAATAAAATTAGAATTAAAAATTCGAATCGGTGAAATAAATGATCCCAAAATTTGTTACCACGTGTAAAATCTGTTTACATATTGGTACAAAGTATGAAATCTTTTTACATACTTTGAAATTTGTTTACATGCCACATACTCTTAATTTTTATAGATATACTTTGTTAGGGTTTTTGTACATGTACTGATTTTTTATACTGTTTTCTTTATACTTTTGAAAGGCTGCTACAAGAAGGAGGGACTTTAGGCGTCAAGTCTTCATGTGTGTTGAGTGCTAGAGTCCCGTGGCTTTTCTAAATCATCATAATGGAACAGAGTTTGTTGATTTCATTGCTGTTCGAGAATCGGTGATGTTGAGTATTTATTATCCGTTTGGTTCATATGTTTAAGTCAGTAATTTTTAATTTTGATATTTAAAATTTAAATTTTTTATAAGAAAAAAATACTGTAATAAAATTAAAATCATGAATTTAAACGCATGAAACAAACAGTCTTTAGAAATTGAAACAAAAGCTTTAGACTATTTAGGCTTTAGACTTCTTTACTTTACTGATATGGGGCAATTCTTCCTAAAAACAATTCGCAACCCACATTCTCCATTTTCCACCCTTACTAAATAAACAAAACATGCTATTAATGGGGAAAAACTTACTTTTACCAATTCAAAGATTATCCCAACAAGAAGGAAAAACTTTATTCTTGATAGAATTGGCTACAATTTTGGCCAAAATTTTATTCTCGCACGGCGTCTTTTCTTGTTGTGCCTAAGTTAATTTTTGTGAGATTGTATGATAATGCTTGATATATATGCTTGTAAAAGAGCAGGATCAAAGTGGTCTCCAATATTAATGCATGTCTTGTTCCAAATTTATCTTCTGGCTTTGAATGTCAAAGTTATAACGTCCAGCATATTGGCAGCTCCTCTTCCATCTACATACCTTCTCGTACAAGTCATCCTATAAATAAGAGGAAGAGAAACATTATTGAGGAAAAGGAGCATTAAGCATCGGTTCTAACCACTACCAGGGGATTCCTAGATCCGCTCTCAGATCACATTAAAATTCCAGTCTTCAATCAAACGGAATGAAAGCAGGATATTGATCAGCTATAGTAGCTGCAAACAAATCTCGTGACGGTGATCAAACAACATTAGCTACGTCTCGTCTCTTGACGAGTCCTGACCCCTTATAAACAGATCGAAAGGTTACGATTCACTCAGGCACTGCTTGCTAGTGGAGGTTGGGGTATACTTAAAATATGATTTTTATTTTGACGTTTGAAATTAGATTTTTTCATTAAAAAAAACACTGTAGTAAAATCAATAATTTGAGTTTGAGTACATAAATCAAACGAACCTAATCCAACAAAAAATATATCAATATGATAATCCAATTACGTTTTTATATATCAATACGATCATCCAATTAGTTTTAAATGATTATATAATAATTGTCCATGTATTAGTTTAACCACTGTTTTTTCTAACTCTATTATTTATGCCGTTACACAAAATTTTGATGCTATTACGAAAAATAACTTGCAAGATCCGAAGTGATAACTTGTAGGTTATAAAAGATAAATAAAAACCTAACTTGCAGATTACGAAAAATAACTTGCAGTATGAAAAAATAACTTACATGTTGTCTGTAGTATAAGATATATTTAATAATAGTGACGGAAATACAATAATATTATTTTATTGATGGTATTTTAAAAAATTAAAATTTTAAGTTTAACCATTTATTTTTCCAACTATATTATTTATGCCACTTTATAAAATTTTGATGTCATTATGAAAAATAACATACAAGATAGAAAGTAATAACTCACAGATTACGAAAAATAACCTGTAAATTAGGAAAGAAAACCTGTAAATTAAGAAAACAATGTTATTTTATTGATAACATTTTTGAAAGTCCCCTAATGTTAATTGATCATTCGGCCCGTTTCTTCTCTTCTCTAATAATTATTTAAAAAAAAAAAAGAAAAAACAGTATATATTGTCTATTATCCATATTTGTCTAATCTTTTGTGGGGTCATAGATTTTTTCTTTAAAATTAATAAATTTCATTTATCTTTCTCATAAAAGATTTTGGGCACATTATAAAAAAGAGGGCATAGCTTTTATTTTTACTTTCATTTTTCTTAAATTTGGCTAAGAAAATATACAAAAATGAAAAAAAACCTCTTATCTTCATTTTTTTTAAATACTTTCAATCACTACTTAATAAATTATAAATTATTATGTTTTCTTTTACATATGGATATAAATTTCCCTTATCCAATTTATATTGGATTTAAAAATCTAAATGGTTTCCCTTCTTTTACTCCCAAACTCCTATTTGAATCACTAATTTCGCCACTGAAACATTATTTAAACACTAATTTTGAAAATTAGTCGTTTCAAATATTGAAAATACCTTTTTGTTTTTCGGCTCAAATTCAAATAAATAAAGAAAATATCTACATTGTAATAGCTTATATATACAAGTAAACAACCCCAGTTTGCTTTCACTGAGACTTGCACATATTCTCATCTTTTTCATTCTTCGTTAACCATTCTTTCTTGACTCTCTCTCTCTCTCGAGAAATCCGTCTTAATTCAATGGCTGGCAATGGCGTTCCCTCGACCGGCAAGAGCCTGATTGTGAGCTTCGGAGAGATGCTGATCGACTTCGTCCCCACCGAGTCCGGCGTATCGCTGGCAGAGGCGCCCGGGTTCCTCAAGGCCCCCGGTGGCGCCCCCGCCAATGTCGCAATCGCCATCACAAGGCTCGGCGGCAATGCCGCCTTCGTCGGAAAGCTCGGCGATGACGAGTTCGGTCACATGCTCGCCGGAATCTTGAAGGAGAACGGCGTCTCCGCCGACGGCATCAACTTCGACGAGGGCGCACGCACCGCCCTCGCCTTCGTCACACTCCGCGCCGACGGCGAGCGTGAGTTCATGTTCTACCGGAACCCTAGCGCCGACATGCTTCTCCGTCCCGAGGAGCTCAATCTGGAACTTATCAAATCCGTACGATACGATTTCCTTTTTTTTTTCTCTCTCTCTTTTCTATCTCGATTAAAAAAAAAAAAAAGGTTTCCATCTTAATTTGTTGTGGTTTTCTTACTGTGTTTTCCGGGAAACTTCTCGTCGTCGTGCGTTTTCACTAAAATATGTTTAATGTTATATGTTGTTTGTTTCACATTATTTATTTGATTATATTATCGTTTCTATTAAAAGAAATTATTTTGTCAAATCTTTATGTTATGGTTTCTATTAAATGATTTTATTTTATTTTTTTTATAAATGTAGAAACATAAAAAGACTTCATTAAATATGATATTATCATCATGAGTTATGATCTTTGAGGGAGAATATTGATTTAGGGTTCAGTAACCTGTCTTGCTTTGCATATATATATATATATATATATTTTAAATAATGATCTGATGTAACATATATATTTTTCAAATGCATGCATGTTAATTTAGGCCAAGGTGTTTCACTATGGGTCCATAAGCTTGATCGTGGAGCCATGCAGATCGGCGCACATTAAGGCGATGAAGGCTGCAAAGGAAGCCGGAGCTCTCCTTTCATACGACCCGAACCTCCGACTTCCGCTGTGGCCGTCGGCCGAGGAGGCGCGTGAGCAGATCTTGAGCATTTGGGGCAAGGCTGAGGTCATCAAGGTTAGTGACGTTGAGCTTGAGTTCCTCACCGGCAGGGACAAGATCGACGACGCCGCCTTGTTGCTCTGGCACCCTAACCTCAAGCTCCTCCTCGTCACCCTCGGCGAGCATGGCTGCAGATACTTCACCAAGGTAATCAAGCACTAAAACCAGTTGTTTTTCTCTTTTGATGGGGTTATAAATTAAAGATTTTCACTAGGTCCACCATGATTTAATCTTTTTTATTATAGTGTTTTCTCAAAAAAAAAAAAAAAAAAATTACAATTAAGTTCTTACAAATATGTTATATGATTAATAAACTAGAATGAAAATTTTGTTTAATACTAAATCTTTCTTTTTGTTACAGAGTTTCCGTGGGTCAGTTGATGCTTTCCGTGTCAACACAGTGGATACCACTGGTGCTGGTGATTCCTTTGTTGGTGCACTCTTGTCCAAGATTGTTGATGACCACTCTATTATTGAGGTAATATTTTGTTTCACGTATTTGTCATTGATTCTGAATTATGATTCATGGTTTTTTACAGTATTTTTTTCTCATAAAAAATACACGTAAAACGAGAATGGTTCTGAATTTATGAACCAAACGTCTACAATCTTTTTTATTTTAATTATATATATATTTTAAAAAAAATTACTATTTTGGAACGTAAATGAGAATTTAATACATTTAAAACAACGCACATACCTATTAAATACCCATCAAACTCTTAACTCTTTATGTGGTATAAAGATTTCTAATCTGATACATTAAAACCAACTCGCATACAAACTAAACATCAATTCACTCTTATCTTTTTATGTGGTAAAAAAGATTTGTACTTAGTCTAATTTGTTTAATGTTAATTTTTTTTGTTACTAATTAATTGTGATGAATTAATTCAGGATGAGGCAAGGTTGAGGGAGGTTCTGAAATTTGCAAATGCATGTGGGGCCATCACAACCACAAAGAAGGGAGCAATCCCGGCTCTTCCGCCCGAGACAGAAGTCCGCGCCCTTCTCAACAAAGGTGCATAAGGCGCTATGAGAGGATTTTCTTTAGGTTTTCTTAGGACTTATTAGTCTTTTCCTTTGCTTCTTTTCTTTTTATTTTTTATTTTTTATTTTTTTTTAAGGAGCTACTTGCTATTTGAGTATATATATGATATTTATTTCTCTTCTAGTTCTAGTTTCTTTTTTTTTTCTTTTTGGGATGTAATAATGAAACACCATATGCCTTACAAGGGCATATTTATTGCTGAATAATTGATATTCTTTGAATGTTTTTAATGGTTTGGTAAGAGGTGACACATATATTCATATTATCTCTGTAGCTTTACATGCCTGCCATTATAAAGCAACAGTAAAGTTTTTAGTTATTGTGCGATAAGAAAGTGATCATCTATATTAAAATTTAGAATATCATTCATCAATTTTATTATTAGAGACCAAAAATCTAAAAATAAAAATAAAAATAAAAACTAATATGTCAAAATTAAAAAGTTTATGAATCAAATGTCACTATCCTCAAAATTTATGGACTATCTCAATAACCTTAAAATATATAGTATTTTCAAAAGTCATGTACAAATAACATTTTTTTCCTTTTTGAACCTCTAAATAAAAAAGGAAAAAAAATTGTACATACTTCTTATTTATGTCATTTTAAATAATTAAGTGTTATTATGACTTTAATTTCTATTTATTAATCAAACGATAATTATTTATTTTTAAATGCAGTGACAGATAATTTTTTTACCATCTTAAATGGAATTTTTGATATTTTTCAGTAAATAATTATTGTTTTCATTCTAAAAGCTTCAAATTACATCTTAGTACTACATGGCAATACCTTAATTAGTTTTTTTTGTTTTTTTTTTGTTCGTTTTTTAATTGAAGCCCGAAAGAAAAATCCGTTGACCTTTTGCTAGACAATTAAGGGCCGAGCCATGAAAATCAACACACAATTAAGGGCCGAGCCATGAAAATCAACACACAATTAAGGGCCCAGCCATGAAAATCAACACGACACGTCACCACATGGCTTAACAACTGGGTCCCATCACTTTCACCCCTTCACTCCCGCGAAACGTCCATCGTCTTCTTAATTCACTCAAAGAAAAACTCAAACGACATCGTTTCACCTCTCTTCCTGTTGCTAGCACACCCTGTCTCGTCGTGGTCTCACCTCACTCGAAACCTCTCTCTCCTCTCTCCCTCTCTCCCTCACTCTCCTTCTTTTCCTTCCGATTTTCCCTCGATTTTCTCGAGAAAATCTAGCGCCCGTGCAAATCTCTCGTCGATCCGATACACACAAAGACACTCAGTGCTATATATATAAGGACGAATAAAACGTCTATGGATCATCGTAGGACGGCAAGTCCGGTGTACTCGCGGCAGTGGAGCGGCGGAAGCAGCACGGGATCGTCATCTCCGGCGGCGATGTCGCCGGCGCACCCTCACTCGCGGATTCAGCCTGGAGCCACCGCCTTCTCCACCATCAAGCGGACCCAAAACGTGGCCGCCAAGGCCGCCGCGGCGCGCCTCGCTCAGGTCATGGCCTCGCAGGCCGCAGCCGCAGACGACGACGACGACGACGACGACGATGATCTAGGGTTCCGGTATCCTCCGCCTCCCGCGCCTCTCTCTTTCTCGAACAATTCCGCCGCTTATAACTCCGGTTCTATCCCCGCGATTTCGGCCTCTCGGACGAATAGATCTGCCTCTCCTGCGGTTAGTTTCAGATTTATAAAATTGTCTTATCGTTTTGTTTCGATGGTTTAGATGAACTTAACTATGTGCAAATGGAGTTTGATTTGGTGGTTTTGATTTTGGTGATCTGAATTGCAGTTTGTTTTTCGTTGGATTAAGTTACTTAGATTAACTAAAAGCGCATATTTCTGAAAATATTTGAGTGAAATTCTTACAATTATCTTTGGTGCTATATTTTGCAGTCAGCGTAGGATTTGTTTAGGGTTTAAGTTAATGAAATTAGGTGCAATTGGAGTTTTCTTCGGTGTTGAAGTTTGGTGAATCTGAATTTTAGCTACTTTCTCATGTCATTAGTTTTACTACAATG